TGCTTAATGACGAGCCCTCCATTACTGTCGCCGAGGAGTTTTCCCTCAAAGGGAAAAACAATGAAATCCAACTTCTGCAACTGATGCATGCAGGCTTTTATTTCCCTTCTACCCCTACACGATCTCTAAGACCCACTCCAAAAACTGCATTTTCAACCCAAGATCAACTGCAGAGCCCCTGTAAATTCAGAGAAGCTCTGGCCCCTGGAAATGGACAAGGTGGCTGTGCCTCCAGCTCATGCCACTCTCAGCCCAACACCAGCAACTCTGGAGAGAGACTGGCCAAGTTCCCACGAGCGGACCGCTCGAGTGGGATCGAAAACTTCAGAGAGGTCTAGAAGCCTGCTCCATGACAGGGGAGAAAACAGGGACGGAAGGTAAGGGAGAGGCAGCAGGGATGAGAGAGTGTGAGAGAGAATAGGTGTGAGTGACAGCAAGCGTTAAGCAAAGTGGAGTGGTGGCTCCAGGCGGTTCCTGGGAGACCCATGGTTTCAGAAGCATTTCACAAGCATGCGACTGGCGAAGCCCGGGCACTATTTAACAAGGAGTCATGGGACTTGCCTGGTGGCCCAGTGGTCAACAATCCACACTTTTACTGTGGGTGGCACAGGTTCAACCCCTGGTTCAGGAACTAAGATCCCACATGCTACGCGATGTAGCCAAAAACACCACCCCTCCCCCCAAAAAAACTAATAAAACCCCCAAACAAAGAGTCATTTTACACCGGGGTCTTTTCTGCTGTTTCTCTGTCCTCCATCTCAGCCCTGTCCTCTGCTAGAACACAAGATGTCTCAGCTGGCTTCCACTGAGCCCCCCCGGGGAATCTGGGGACACTCTCAGAAAATCAGGGAAGAGAATCCTGACCCACAGGGAATGTAGTAAGACGGCTAAGCAAAGAGGGCAGGGGCCAGAGGAAGTGCAGCAACACACAAGGAGATGCCGGCATGTGCCGAGCACCCCAGAGGAGCGGCTTGTCTCCTGGGAATGACTCTTGTCTCTTTCTCCATAAACCTTCACCCCCACCCCACAGTGGCTTCCTATATCCAGGCAGCTCTGCCCACCACCCTGACTGTTCTGGGCAGTGACCTTCAAGTATGTCTCTGTTTCAAACTGATGTCACTTACGGGTAACAACTTCCTGCCTTCTGCTCTGTGCAGTGTCTCCACAGTGGACTGAGTCACACAAACCAGAATGCAGCCACTACCCTTTGGAAGAATGGTCCTCAGGGAAGTGTCTCAGCTCTAATTTTTATCTAGAAATCAAGAGGCTCTCCAGCGGCTCATCTGACCCACCTCTGCATCTCCTGTTTTTCTCTTCCTTGGGCTGCACTGGGTCCTTGCTGCGGCACATCGGCATTCTCCTGTTGCAGAGAGCGGGCACGCAGTAGTCCCACAGCACGTGGGATCTCAGCGCCCTGACCAGGGACTGAACCCCTGTCCTTTGCATTGCAAGGCAGATTCCCAACCACTGGACCACCAGGGAAGTTCCCCGCTTTACTTTTCTACTGTGTCTTGGAAGTTAGGTAGCAGAGTGGTTCAATGAATGGAGTGTGAATTCGGGATTCACTCATACCTGGTTCAAATCCCACTACCATCCCTTACAGGTGCAAGGCCCTAGGAAACTGGCTGCCTTCATGAATCTCAGTTTTTCTGCCTCTAAAATGGGTCAAGAATGCTGTTTCTTACAGAGTCACTGAATTAGAAGTACCTGGCCCAGAGCAGGTACTCAACAAACATTGGTCCTCCTTATCCTTCCCTCGCTGGAATTGGGGAAAGTGTTCGTGCTAGTCACTTAGTCAACTGTGTCCAACTCTGTGAGACCCCATGGGACCCAGAGGCCCACTGGGCTCCTCTGTCCATGGTATTCTCCAGGTAAGAATACTGGAGTGGGTTGCCATGCCCTCCTCCAGGGGATCTTCCCAACCCAGGGATCAAATCCACATCTTCTGCAGCTCCTGTAATGCAGGCAGTATTCTTGACCACTGAGCCACAGGGAATCCCATTCAATAACTATGAAAGTGAAAGTCGCTCAGTCATGTCCCACTCTTTGTGTCCTCGTAGACTATACAGTCCATGGAAGTCTCCAGGCCAGAATACTGGAGTGGGCGGCCTTTCCCTTCTCCAGGGGATCTTCTCAACCCAGGGATTGAATCCAGGTCTCCTGCATTGCGGGCAGATTCTTTACCAGCTGAGCTATTTGTTAAGTCCAAAAATATGGATCTTCCCAACCCAGGAATCGAACTGGGGTCTCCTGCATTGCAGGCAGATTCTTTACCAACTGAGCTATCAGGGAAGCCCCTCAGTAACTATAAACATGTATTAATAATACATCTCAGTGGAGACTTCCCTAGTGGTCCAGTGGTTAAGATTCTGTGCTTCCAATGCTAGGGGTGCAGGTTCTAGCCCTGGTTGGGGAACTAAGATTCCACATGCTGTGCAGCATGGCCCCAAAAAAAGAAAAAAAGCAACTATACTCCAGAAAAAAATGTTAAAAAAAAAAAAAAGAGTATAACTCAGTGGAAAAATTTTACTTGGGATTATTTCCTGGTCAGTTTTAAGAAACACGGTCAAGCATAGAAAATATAATTTTATAAATGATCTGTAAACGGCTGATAAAGAGCAGAAATTTTAGGTGAAACGAGAAGGAATTCAAGCAAAAATACTGTATTTATTCCTCTGAAGAGTTTTTCAGCCCACAGATCAAGTTTTCCAAGGGGATTTCCCCACATGGAATCACAGTGTAAACCCCAAGTCCCCTGGCTTATACCAGAGTGATCTGTCAATGGCTTCTTTGCTCAGAACCCACTGGTGGCTCTCCCAGGTCTCTGAGTGAAGTTCAAGTCTTTGGACACATTCCCAATTGGCCTCTCCAGCTCCATCTTCTGCCATCCCACCTCGACATCCTACCTCCCATCCACACTAAACCACCACTGACTTTCTGAATGCCCCTGTCCTTTCTGACTTGGTATATTCTAGTCTCCCAGTGGAATGCTTCTGCTTCCCTCACCTGCTAAGACTCAGCTAAACAGCACCTCCACCAGGAAGTCTTCCCTACACCGCTCCCCACCTTCACCAGGTCTGCAGAGTGAACTTCTCATGCTCTTGTCTGCATATCCCATATCCCTTCAGGCTGAGGGCCTGCTGGGGTCAAAGACCATGCCTTTATATCAGTTTACTAGGTGCTTGATGTTTACTGACTGAACGAAGGAATAAAGAAAATGATGGAGGTTTGTAAGAGAAAAGAGGACTCACGATGGAGCAGGGCTCCCCCTGACTTCACATGCCTGCAGTCCACAGGTAACAATCATTACCAGGTATCACACAGCACAGACAAGGTCTGTATAGTCAAAGCTATGGTTTTTCCAGTAGTCATGTACATATGCGAGACCATAAAGAAGGCTGAGCACTGAAAAGAATCAATGCTTTCAAACTGTGGTGCTGGAAAATACTCTTGAGAATCCCTTGGACTACAAAATCAAACCAGTCAATCCTAAAGGAAACCAACCCTGGATATTCACTGGAAGGACTGATGTTGAAGTTGAAGCTCCAGTACTTTGGCCACATGATGCAAAGATCTGACTCAATGGAAAAGACACTGATGCCAGGAAATACTGAAGTTAGGAGGAGGCGGCAACAGAGGATGAGATGGTTGGATGTCATCACCGACTCTACAGATATGAGTTTGAGCAAACTCTGGTAGATAGTGCGGGACAGGGGAGCCTGGCATGCTGTAGTCCATGGGGTCGCATGGGACACAACTTAGCGACTGAACAACAACAATACAGCACAGAGCACACCTATAAAAAGTAGGCGCATGAACCCACTTCGCAGGCCATGAAATCAAGGCTTGCTGCGGGAGAAGGTGGCTTGTCAGGGCTGGAAGATGGCAAGCCAGGACAGAAGGCCGTGGCTCCTTGGATCCTGAGTCCCATGGCTTGAAGTAGATCCTCCACTTGCCTGTGATCCTACTTCTGTGGCAGGCAACCCTTTAGATTCATCCCTGCCTCTGGGGAGAAGAACAATTCTGTGTTTCAGTGATTAAGCCCCTGCAGGGCTGCCCAAGGCCAAGAAGGTGCCAGGCCAGAAGTTGCAACACAGGGACTTCCCTGGTGGCCCAGTGGTTAAGAATCTACTCTTCCACTGCAAGGGACAAGGGTTCAATTCCTGGTTGGGGACTGGTCAGGAAACTAAGATCTCACATGCCCGGGGTGACCAAGCTCATGTGCTGCAACTACTGTGCCCAAGTGCTGTGGAGTCCATGTGCTGCAATGAAAGATCCCACGTGCTGCAACTAAGACCTGATGCAGCCAAATAAATATGTTTTAAAATTAAATAATAATTAATTTTTTTTAATAAAAAAAAAGAAGTAGCAGCACACATGGGAGCTAACCATCAACTGTGTCTTGGGTGACCCAGAGCCAAGACCCTCACACTTAGACCCAACTCTCCCATTCTGCTAAGGGTGGGTGCCACACACCATCTCTCACTGGACACCAAAGCTGCCCACTTCTCATGCCCCTGGTGGGTCCACCATCACCAAAAGTAGACCCTGGTTTTCTCCAAATCAATGAGCTAAGAAGCAAGGTGAGGAGTTTCACTGGAATCTAAGGTTGCAGAATGAGGCCTGCAACACTGTGTCTCAAATGGCAGAAGGGGGATAGAGACTGTGAGAAGGATGGGCCACAGAGGGATGAGAGGCAGGGCCAGGCAGATAAGAGATCGCATCCACCAGACAGATAACGGGACTACAATGACAAAGGAGCTGGAAGCCGTGCTGGCGCGTTGAGAGAAAGAAAGAGCATATTAAATTTTAAACAAAGCCCACCCTGGGGGAACCTCCAGCCTTGTCTCCCAACCCGCCTCCCATCTCCAGCTCACAAGTCACTAAGTTCACAGAAACTGAATGTCCCTCACCTCTAGGGGCTGTGTTTTGTTCTGTCGCTGTGTCTCTGGGGGTGGGGGGACTTGGGCCTCCCTGAGCCCCCGGGGTCTTCCCACCAGGCCTGAGAAAGGAGGGCAGGCTAGAAGCAGCTTCAGCTGGGACAGCCCTGCTTGGAACGGGGAGCAAGGAGGGGGGCTGGGAACCAGAGCAGAGTGGGTACAAGAAAAGAGCCGGCAGTGCCAGGTCCAGATGGTGGGCAGCAGCAGAGATGTCACCAGGAGCCGAGAGGAGAGAAGGAAGCAAGAAGCAGGGAAGGTCCTGAGAGGCCCTGCCAACTGCCATAAAGACTGTGCTGGCGTGGAGGAGGAAGAGAACAGAAAAGGAGGAAGAGCGAGCCCCGAGCTGGAGCAGGAAGGCCCAATTTAGCCCAAGCACGTGTTACTTCCTCTGTAATTCCATCAAACCTCCCCCACCCCACCCCACCCCAAGGTGATGACTGGGGAATCGGGCTACAAGTGCTGAAGGTCTGGAGAGAGGTACTCCCCTGGGGCAGAACCCTGAAGCCTGCACACAGCATCCTCCATGCCAGCCCCACAAACACCAACCCAGCCGGGCATGACCAGCTTCGGGTCTCCAGAGTCAGGACAGGATGTTTGTTTCACAAGCATCTTCTCCGAAGAAAGGCCAGTCTAAGTCTGGAATCCTCAAAGCCAGCGCTGCCTCGGGCACCCTAAGGACGGGCTCCTTGAGGATTCCCTGGGGAGCCACAGGCCTGCAGTCAGAGACAAGAAAGGCTCCAGTCTCGGTGCTCAAGGCCCACTGTGAACAAAGGGGCAAGGATCCGCTGGTTCTCTTTCAAGGGTCGGCTGTGCCCGGGGTCAATCAGGCCTTTCCCAGGCCAGTCCCTCTTAATCAACGTGCGTTAAACAGTTGAAAAGCAGTATCTTAACGACACACAACCAAGTTTTATTAATAAAAGAATAAGACTTAGTATTCACTTAAAAGGAACCAAAAATACTACATAACATTTCTGGAGGCCAATTTAACCATCTAAATCCAGGGCCATTAGAATGTGTCCTGGGCCCAGTAATTCCCTGCTAGAAATGTATGCCAAAGATTTAATCAAAAAATACCCAAGGATGTTCACCACAGCATTCTTTACAAGAGAAAAAGAGGAAAAAAATTTAAATTTAGGAGACTGCTTAAATATATGGAAGGGTATATCATACACTGAATTATTAATAATTACAGGCATTTTAATTTTCTTCTTTTTGCTTGTTTCTAGTTCCTAAATTTTTTGCAACAACCGTAAATCTCTTTGTAACAAGGAAAAAATCAATAAAAGCTATTTTCTAAAAAACAAAAGGCAGAGATCCAAGAGACTCTGCATTCCTTGGACATTCGAACCTGAACTGGTTGGAACAAAACAAAACTGGACAGAGACACTTAAAACCACCTAAGAATATTTTTAAGGATTAAGAGGTATATTCCACTGAAGAGGAATTAAAATCCTCCAGAAGGGCTCCCCCGGTGGCTCAGTGAATAAGGATCCACCTGCAAATGTAGGGGACAGGGGTTCGATCCCTGGTGCAAGAAGACCCCACATGCCACAGAGCAGCTAAGCCCGTGTGCCATAACTATTGAGCCCGAGCTCCGAAACTGCTGAAGTCTGTGCTCCACAACAAGGGAAACCCCTACAATGAGAAGCCCATGTACCACAACTCAAGTAGCCCCCAATCGCTGCAACTAGAGAAAACCCGGGCAGCAATGAAGAGCCAGGGCAGCCACAAATAAATCTTTACAAAAATAAAATAAAATCCTCCAAAAAGCCCAAGTGGGAGCAGGGAGGGTGAGTAAAGAGCAGGGAGCTAAGTCAGGACCCAACTTTTCTGTCCTTAGAGTGACCACCATGGGGAGAACAGGGGGTGGGGATGAGAGCAGGCAGAGCGGCTGACGTATGAAAAAACAAAAAAGCGTTCCTTTGGTCCTTGATCAAGGAAAGGACAATGACCATCTCCTTTCAGTGAATTCAAAGGGGGGAATTACAGAATGGCCAGTCTGAGACTTCCCTGTTGGTTCAGTGGTTAAGAAACTGCCTTGCAATGCAGGGGACGTGGGTTTGATCCCCGGTCAGGGAACTAAGATCTCGCATGCCTGGAGTAACTAGGCCTGTGCCACACTACTGAGCATGGCTACAACGAAAGATGCCACGTGCCGCAGCTAAGACCCAACACAGTCAAAAAATAAATAAAATTAAAAAACAAACAAACGAAAACAAACGGCCAGTTACTGAGCTGAGTGACATTTGTTCACCTACTTGGCCGTAGGGAACAAATTTTTACAACCAAGATACAGAAGACCCCAAAGAGGCACTTGGAAGAGAAATTCTGACAAGCTCTGCAGCTGAAGCAAAAGAACTTAGCTGGGAACTTCCCTGATGGCCCAGTGGTTAAGACTGCACACTCCCAATACTGGGGGTACAGGTTCCATCCTTGCTCAGGGCACTAAGATCCCACATGCCACACAGTGAGGCCAAATAAATAGACAATAAAAATAAGAACTTAGCTGATGTTACACAGAAATTTTACAGATAGTGAGATAGGACACAAGAGGATAACAGAATTGGGAACTGTTGGGAAGGCATGGGCATACACGTGCACCATTTACAGAAGCTGGCCTTTGTGTAAGATGAGCAAGAGCCCAAGAAAGGAAAAAGCTCACCAGCCATGGACTTAATTATTCAAGCATCAGGAAAACTTGAGGAGTAATGGGAGCTGTCTGAATTTCTCCATTCCTCTTTCTGACTGAAAGCTTTAAAATCTATCTCAAAGATCAAAATCTGTCCACTGGGGAAACGTTTATGGGGTGCCTCCTATCCATGCATGCAATCAGCAAACAGCCCAGTGTGAACTTAATGTGGGTACCACTCTGTAATGCTCAAGGTGCTTCCACTTCCACTGGCCTAACAAACAAAAACGGGCAGTGTGAACCACTAGGATGCATCCTTTGTAAAGACACCGAGTAGCACAGTGACCGGGGGCTGGACATGCCAGCTCCAGCCCACGGATTCCAAAGACTGCCACGAACATTCCTCAGCCCCAGTGGACCCTGCCTCTTCCTTCAGAAATGATGACTCCAACTTGGATAATCAATACGGCACTGCCCATGAGGACAGCTGGTGCTGGATGATTCTGTGTCTCTTAAAGACATCAAATTCTCCCCCCCAGGTGAAGCTGTAGCCTACAGATGACAGCTTCGTATTATATACGGCCAACACCCTTAGCTTTGTTCTCTGTAGAGAATTTCTCTTCAGCGAAGAGGAAGCTGTCAATACCCTACTTTGAAAACAGCACAGGTGTTTTCTGCCAGACAAAAACCAAAACCCCAAATCAAAAAACCACCTCCCCTTCCTTTTAATTAAAGAGATGCCATCCAATTGCACCTGTGTGAAGAAAAATAGGAAAAGTTGTTCTTCCAGAATGTTCCGGGTACCATCAGCCCTGAAAACTTGCCCGCTGTAAAACAAAGTGAAGGCACCAGGAAGTGCCCCCTTGGCACCTGGCACCTGGGACCTACCTGAGGCCAGTTCACACAGACAGTAATAAAAGCTCCCTTGAAATAACGTAAAGCTTCAGACATTCTGATAAAAGCCGGGAACTTCAAAGGCAGGACCGCAGAGCCCATCCCTCATCCTCCTCATTGTGTCTGATGTGGAGGGCTGGGTTCTGGGCTGACTCCACCACCTACTGCCCAAGCTTTGCCCAGTAGGACTTGTGAGCCAGCCAGCCAGCCAGCTATAGGAGGTAGGGTGGAACCTCATTTAAAAAAAACAAAACAAAACTTTTATGGCTGTTCTTTTAATTATTTTTTAAATTTATTTTTTAATTGGAGGATAACTGCATTACAATGTTGTGTTGGTAAAACAGACAGCTAGTAGGAAGCTGATACATAACACAAGGCGCCCAGCTTGGTGCTGTAACAACCTAGAGGGGTGAGATGGGGTGGGGGAGGGAGGCCCAAGAAGGAGGAAAAAGTGAAAGTGGTAGCCGCTCAGTCTTGCCCGATGTTTTGTAACCCCAGGGACTGTAGCCTACCAGGTTCCTCTGTCCATGGGATTCTCCAGGCAATACTGGAGTGGGGTGCCATTCCCTCCTCCAGGGGATCTCCCCCACCCAGGGACTGAATCCGGGTCTGGGTCTCCTGCACTGCAGGTAAGATTTTTTTTACCATCTGAGCCACAAGGGAAGCCCTGAAGAAGGAGGGGATAGAAGGAAGGGATGTACACATATAATTATGACTTATTTGCACTGTTGTAGAGTAGAAATCGATAAAATTTACTTTAAAAATATTTTCTTGTCTGTGCTGCATGTGTGACCCTAGCTCCTCGACCAGGGATCAAACCCAAATGCCTTGCATTGGAAGCATGGAGTCTCAACCACTGGACCACCAGGGAATTCCCGGATAGAACTTATATACTCACTCCTCTGCCCTGGGGGGGCCAGGCCCTGATGCACAGCCTACTGGTCCTTGACCTATGAGAGGTTGGTTAAAAATAAAGGAAGGAAACAAGAAAGTACTGATCTACAGATATAAGCCCGGCGATTCTGGAGTGAGAGCTAGATTCAATGCTGGGTTCCACGGCTCTCTCCGTGAACTTGGGCAAGTCAGCGCAGACTTCCAAGCTTCAGTTTCTTGGTCTATAAAACGGTAGCTTCCTTAGGGGCTGTTGAGCTGAATAACTAAAATAGCCTAAGTGAAAAAGCAGAGCAAAGGTGAGATCCTTCTTCTCCTCCTCCCTCCTTCCCACCCTAACCTCCTTCTTTGAAAAAAAAGTTTTAAAAAAAAATTAGGTGACAAGGAAATCAACCCTGAATTTTCATTGGAAGGACTAATGCTGAAGCTCCAACACTTTGCCCACGTGATGCACAGAATTGACTCATTGGAAAAGACCCTGATGCTGTGAAAGATTGAAGGTAGAAGAACGGGGTGACAGAATGAGATGGTTGGATGGCATCACCAACTCAAAGGACATGAGTTTGGGCAAACTCAGGGAGATGGTGAAGGACTGGGAAACCTGATATGCTTCAGTCCATGGGGTCAGAAAGAGTTGGATATGATTTAGCAACTGAACAACCACCACCAGTGGTTAGGACTCTGCGCTTTCGCTGCAGGGGGCACAGGTTTGATCTCTGGTGGGGAAGTAAGTTGCTGCAAGCCACGTGGTGTGGCCATATAAATAAATTAGGTAGTGTACACACAAAGTGAAAAATTCAAAAAGAAGAAGGAACATACTGAAGTGTCCGCATCTGCTGTGGGAAACCACTATTACCAGTCTCCTAGGTATCCTTGCAGCATGCCACACAGCCAGTCATTCTGTCTCTTACTTTCTTACTTAATAGCTCGGCAACCACATCCACATATGGGAG